GTCGTTGAAACAAAAATAATTTTTTTTTAACAAGGTACTATTTTTTATACTCATATTGCATTCCTATTACCCTTACGGTTTTATAAGTGCCTCACTTCATCAGCCTGTTACACCCAAAAGAAACAATCGTTAATATTTTATTTTCTAAATTTTGGTCTATCATTCATTTACCTCTCCCCCCTGTCTTTAGGCGGAGTTGAATAATTGTACCTGACAAGTTCTACTTAGGTCTTTCCATTCACAACTGGATAGGTCTTGGGAAGACATTTCTACCTCTGGTTATGTCACATTTCAGCACTCGTTAGGTGTAAGCAGGACTTGTATTCAGACTTTCAAAATCCTTGCCGGTGCCCGTAATTCTATGCACCTATATTAAATGCGGGTCCATATCCCTGTTTACGCATGCGTTATTGAAATAAAAAATGCAATTATTGTTTTTTTTTTAAATCTCGAAAATCGACATTTCAGGGGAGGGTGGAGGGGAGACGCATATATGCGGAGGATTGAAATTTATACTCAACAAGGGGAGAAGGTTGAAAAATCTATTCTAGCCACCCTTGTCCCTCCGTTTGCATACGCTGTCTGAATAAAAAATGAAATTGTTAACAAATCTGACCCTTGTTCCAAGTAAAAATGAAAATTTTTTATTTCGACATTTCTGGCGCCTCCGAGGGTGTCATTGGCATTAGAGGAGTCAATACATACGGAATCAACATTGACTTGGCGAAAAATAGTATATTATGTCAGCAGGCGACAAAAGTATTATCTGGCGAATGTGGCATTTTAATCCGAGCTGAAGGAGAGGAATTAGAATCACATTCGAGCGAAGCGAGGTTAGAATCGCGGTTTTTTCGGGCCCAACGACATAAAATTTTTTTTCAGTTTTCACTTTTTCCACATACTTTTGAGAGTTCTGAATAGCCCGTCGCTTAAATAGTTGAAATCAACGTTCGCCCGGCTAAAAAATTCGATTTTGGCGAAAGTCGACTTTCTCCCTGGAAAAACGGAAAATCTGACCCTTTAAAAATCTGAAAAAAAAAAAATTTCTGTTTTTACTTTTTCCACATACTTTTGAGAGTTCTCAATAGCTCGTCGCTTAAATAGTTGGAATCAACGTTCGCCCGGCTAAAAAATTCGATTTTGGCGAAAGTCTACTTTCCCCCTGGAAAAATCCAAGATTTGACACTTTGGCCCTCGTGACCCTTGTGACCCTTTGCCCGACTTTCCCCCTGAAAAAATCCAAGATCTGACACTTTGGCCCCCGGTAAAAAAATTTTTTTTTCAGTTTTCACTTTTTCCACATACTTTTGACAGTGGTGACTCTTTTGAGAGTAAATTAACCTTCCTGAACTGGCTAGATCTCTTACGTCTCACTTGCACTGCAGTGGTGCCCTATAGGTTGAGTAGTTGGCGGCAGCGCGCCGCTCTACGCGCCAGTTCAGGAGGGTTAATATAAGAATAAAGAATAATAATATCCCCAAGATAATTTTGGATGGGAGAAATTATTGGGTTATTTCTCTCCGCGCGAGATTTGCCCATCATTCAATTGATACATCAAACGCTTCGAGTTATGCGCATTTTATGGCTTTGCAATGTACGTTTCTACTAAAATGAAATATGAAGACTGACTATTGCAACGCGGATATTGCATCCCGATATTTGGTGGAATGGCCCGTATATTTTCACGGTGATATATTCCATGAAACTATGCGATCATCCATAATTTCCCGCACGATCGCAAAATTTACGATTTAAACCCTGGAACTTTGCATGAAAACCTATAAACTTTTCCAATATACAGCTATATAACATAACGGTTAATGCCGTTATCAGAATTCCTACCAGTTGACAACAGCTGTTTCGTCCACGTGAAGTAAACCGATTAAGGTTAATTGTTTGTCCGACGGAAATGAGCCAGAAGGCTTGCGCCACGCTAGACGACCTGTATTGAAATCCCGGGTTCTGGGTGTTGTAATTGAGTTGTTAACAGATAATATGTTAATTTAATCGATTGCTGGATGCTCCGAAATACGCAGTAAACAAACAAATAATACCTTACGTTCAGAGTTTAAGGTCTTAAAATAATATTTGCAAAAGTCTTAAATTGAAACCTGCAAGTATCAAGGTGAGAGTTTCGAAAGTCTCAAGTTGAGACTTCGGAAAGTCTCAACATAAGGATTTTTAAAGTTTTTACTTAAGACTAAAAATCCTTGCAAGTTTCAATTTAAGACATCTGAAAATCTTAATAAGAGAGCTTCAAGTCGTTCAATTTTAAGTCATAATTCTTCAGACTTCAAGCTTCTGCTTCAAGGAATTTTTGCCGACTTCACGCTCATGGAAAAGCCATCGCACGTGTATCAATATATACTATTTCGTCACTAGGTCGAATGAAATCATTCTGGTGAACATGAGGGCTGCAATCATATGAGCTAGATTTTTTTTCGGGCATATGATGACCACACATACAAAAAAATTCAATAGAAAAAGTCAGCGAAATCGCTAGAAAATTCTATCGGAATTTTCGAGAAATTCTATTAAAATTCCAGGGAATTCTCATTAAAATTGTATTTATTTTTTGCGCTGATTCTATGAGATATTTGATAGGAAAAAGTCAATGGATTTCGATTTTTCTATATGATTATTATATTCTCTAGGAAGTTTTTCTATAAAAATACTCAGGCATGAATTTTCTACTTTTTTTTCACTCGGATGCTGGAATGCAAAACAAAACTAAACATAGGGGGAAAAACTTGGAAAATCCTTCCCAATAATTTTAATAGAAAGAATCTTAGGAGAAAAATTCAAACAGAAAAATCAAAATCTATTGACTTTTTCCTATTAAACATCCAATTTGTTTTTTATTTTTTGGCCTCTGTGGTCATTAGCTGATTCGAAGTGAAGCAATCCATTATGTCCAAATGATAAAAATTGATCCAGTCATTTGGATTAAGCCCAATATTTCGACCCCCTTAGGAGGACCCTGCAAAGGGGATCGAAATATTGGGCTTCACTTCGAATCAGTTAATAACCGCAGAGGTTAAAAACTAAAAAACAAGTTAAAAATTTAGTCGAAATCTTCTCCACAACATCAAACATCTAATAGAATCTGCGCGAAAAACAAATAGAATTTTAAAGAGAATTTTCTAGAATTTAAATAGAATTCCCATAGAATTTCTAGAGAATTTCGATACAGTTTTCTACCGAATTCGCTAAGGTTTTCTATTAAATTTTTTCCATACGTGCATTATTTTGGAAAAATGGGCTGTGCGCCCGTGAACCCCCTGCCCCCTGAAATGACAAAAATAGTATTACTACCAAGATCACATTACGATTATCTCTCTCCACCGATGCGAAAGAAGGAAGTTTGCTCAACTGATAAAATTAGTTCCATAGATAAGGAAGTAGAAAAGATTACGATCGTCATACGCACCATTTCCTCAATAGGAGAAATGATATGATTACCGATATAAATGAATTGATGTCGTAATACTCCCAAAAAGGCTCCACACATGTACCATTATTGAACGATGGATTAGGTCATTCGCCTTGACGATTTAATCTCCGATAATAGCAAAATTTCCACATTTGGGAACTTTATACCTTTTTTATCGCTTGACATTGAAACTGAACGCTTGCGAAACGATAGAGGAGTCCATTCATAAAATGTAGAGATGTACTGGTGGATCCAAAGTCAATGAAAACTTGTGTAAATCATTCTCAAACAAGTTCTACTTCCTCTAAAAATTCCAGAATGCAGATAATCGAAGTACGCCCCGAGAAAATTGACATTTTTACATTTTTTCGACCCGTAAAAACTCTACCAGTCCTCCAATTTGGACTATTTTTCAATGCATTTTTTTTGTGATATGACCTTTCGCAAAATCAATCGCATGAATTTTGAAATGACTCAATTCCTTCTGTTGAATAAAACGTGAATGTTATTGAAACATTAAAAATTAATTGTTTCATGAGGGTAGCTGGTGCCTGTACTGCCCACCCGTACTTCTTACGATTGGCTGAGACATTTTTTTTGCTTTTTTTATTATGCAAATATTTTTGCTGACAACAAGTAATTTCAACAAATTTTCTATTTTCTACTGTGGAAAGATCGTTAAAAAAATCCAAATCATTTCCTACCGAATTCTTAAAATACTTCGACCCCAGAATTTAAGATTTTTCAAATTTCCAGTTGGTCCATAATTGAATGGAGTGCGAAATATATGTTCGTTATACATTTCCACATTCATTGCGACCTTTTCGGTAGCAGAAAAATATCTTCATCAGTTATAATTGGCTATTTTATCAGGCTCCGCGTTTGTGGGTAATTCCGCCCAGAGTTTGTGGGTAATGTTGCCCAGGGTTTGTATAGGGCTGCTAGACTCTAGAGGGCGGTCGAGTGACAGCTCGATTGCTTGGGGTATTCGGTGGCCACTGGAACATCGGGTAAATTCAGGATAATTTATTATTATTCACGTGAAATCTTTCTCAACCTGGAGCCAAAGAATGGAAACGAAGGATAAAAATAGGAAAACTTATAACAGTGGGTCTGCATTGCTAAAAAAAGTCATCAAAACAAGGTGGGCGGTATTGGACGCATGGCGAGCGGTATTACCCTCAAAGCTCGATTCCATCGCTCACTGGCCGATGGCAATTGAATTACCTAATTAAATACGTTCAATGTTAATAAAAAATCTGTCCTCTTAACATCTTCGAGTAAACACATCTAAGAACCCATTCTAACCGTTTATGACTCCTCGTAGACTGCGAGGCTGGAAAAGAAGACTCACTTCCCTTAGGTGGGCGGTACACGCACCAGTTCCCCTACACTTAGTTTTTCCATAAATAAAAAATTGAAAAAAAAAATCAGAAATTTTCCGTTATTTTTGTTTACTTTTGGTAATTAAAAAAAGCGGTGTGACCCCCCTTAACTCATTACCAATGTTCGAAAGAGTATATCGTTCGTTTTCAAACGCTCAAGGAACTAACAAGTCCACACATTATTACATCAAAATTGTCTTTATTGTAAAATATCAATTTCGTTGGACATATCATAATTTACATAATTTCAAGCATTAAAAACTCCTGACAATTAGAGAGCATCTGTAAAATCGCCATTGTAATAACTAATTGATTAAAACTGTCATTAGGTACACGTGTAGTCTGAGGTAACATTTACTTCCCACCAAACATTAGAAAATTCTTTGGAATGACTGTTGAATTATTTCGAGCAGTCTCAACGGTTGAACTGCACATTTCATAATTACCAATAATCATTAATAATACAGCATTACTTTGGACATAGATGCAGGGCATTTGGGAATAAAAATCGTGAGCATTGACTTCTCATACGAAACTCTATTCATGCCTGATTGACCGCATTCTCCAGCGAATCTCGTGACATTATCTTATAATATTGAAATTTATGTCTGAGGTTATTCGGTTGAATTGTTCTCCTCCTCGATGGATCATAACGCCGAGGTGCATCTCTCTGGGGCTTTATGCCTTGTATTCTGCACAATGATGACTCGCGGTCTTCCTGAGTCTGTTAATCAAGGAATCTCGTGCGGATAATGATGCAATTCGAATGCCAAACTGCAGCATTCAAAGTCTGCGCTGCAACGATGATGCTCTGGGGGCTTATCCGTCTTATCCATTATGCGGATTGGGTAGGTAGACACGTCGGACATCTGGAATTACTCGACCATTAGTTTGACGTGATTTCTCAAGGAGCGATTTTTTAAAAAATGTCTTCTTTATCGTCTGCCTAATAATTATTAGTGTTGCCAATGGTGAAGGCGGCTTTTAAATAAAGTTCTTCTTTGAGTAACAAAGATGTGTAAGCTGGAGATATGGAATGACCGTAATTTTCCCTTTCGGGAAAAAAAATGTTCACTTATTCTGCACGGAGATAAATATTCACTTGTAATACCACAAGAGCTTCAAAATTATCGGGTATTTTCCGATAGGTTCGTTGCAAACAAACGAAGGAGTCAAGTTTTTCAGGTTAATTTTGAATGATTTTTCCTGAAAAACTTGACGATTTCGTTTGTATGCAGGGAACCTTGAGGAAAATGCCCGATTAATTTTGAAGCTCGTGTGGTATTCGGGGGATTATTTTTCCAATCCAAATGTCGGGCAATATAATTGGACCATGAGACGAAACTCACAATTGAGAAACGAAATAGTACATTAGAGTACAAGGGCACAAATTTCGTTTTCAACGAATGTGTGTACAGACCTCGCCTTCGGCTCGGCCTGTAAACTACACATTCGTTGAAAACGAAATTTATTACCGAGTGCTCTATAATATTTTATGTCAAGTCGTGCAGAAGTCGAGTTTTGAGCAAGCTGCGCGAAGCGCAGTGTGCGATAAACTCGACTTATTGCACGGCGCGACATAAATTGTATAATTAACACAACGACACAATTGAATTCAATCTGTCAGTTTGACGAGGGGTTAATTCGACTGCATGATGTTTTGTTTTTTATATAGCAACCACCAGAGAAAATTATCAAATAATTATCAGTTGAAAACCCTGCAGCTTGTACCACGTGATGTCGAATGGGCCAATTATATTGCCCGATATTTGGGTTGGGAAAATAATCAGTAGTAATACCCCAAGAGCTTCAAAATTATCGGGTATTTCCCTTTAGCTTCGTTGCAAACAAATGAGGGTGTCAAGTTTGGCAGGTTAAAAAATTCCGAGCGTTTGAGCGAGGGATTTTTCTGCAAAACGTGGCACGAAGGTTTGTTTGCAGGGGAGCTTGAGGGAAATACCCGATTAATTTTGAATCTCGAGGGGTATTTGTCGGATTATTTTTCCCAAACGGATTTTGGCCAAGCAGAGTGCAGTGGACAACATCAGGAGGTGAATTGGGGAAGATTTGAACAAATTATGTTAATAGAATCACCCGATTTCCATAGACTGTCAAATATTAGATTCTATCTGAAATGAGCTGAAAAAATGGAGAGCTACTGCGAAATATTCAAAAGCTAGGAGGAAATATCCGAAATAAAACTGTCGGGTAGCCTCAATTACTGCGTTCTGATTGGTCGAAATCCGATTGGGAAAAATAATCAGAAGTTATACGTTTTTCTTTGATTTTTGGGGACAATTTCTCCACAAGAAATAAAAATTTCTCTCATCCCAAGGATTTTACCGAAAGCTTGAAACTTTTTCTGTGTAAACTTTTATCATAATTTTTTTTCCTCATGTGGAAACCGTAAATTATGAAGCAACTCTAAAATCTCCACAGTCTCAACACAGATTCCGAATAAAAATAGCACAAGAAAAATCGGAATCCCTCGGATCTCCTTAAAGCATAAAAATCATGATTACACTAAATATTTTTCCACCTACATGAGAGCAAAATGAGAGGACCGACTGATCCGTGTATTTGCTGCACAGAGGTGAGGTGTGAGTGGTGGGATGATCATGGGGATCTTGGATACCTGGTCCACCGCCCACACTATCGAGATATCCCCGGCTGCTCGCTAAACTACCGCCTCTTGTCGCAACGTCTGCAAGCAATTTACATTTTTTCCATAAAAAAAAATTTCACCTCCAAATTAGAGAGGAAAAGCTGATGGCATAACCGAAGACATAATTTTACGACAGTCATAAAAAAGTATGCATACGAAAATGGATCCCAGTTACTGGGGACGAAAGAATGTCGAGTGCAATGTTAAAAATTTCAGGATGACATTTTCGACAAGAGTCTCCTTAAAATTCAAAGTGTCTTTGGACTCTCAGGTTGGTGCAGAAAATGATAATAGAGGGAACTGAATTCTCCAGCGGCTTTGAATATTTATGTGAAATTATTCAGGGAAATATTTTGACATTAAAATTCCACTAGTTCAACTGGAGAGAGGGGAAATGACTCTGAATATTCCACGAGACTGGGGAGTGTCATTCATCGAGGTTAATAACGCCTCGAACTAAGTCATGGAGTTGACGGGAAAAAACAAATTTTGTGGATTATTATAAATTCTAGAAATTGACGTTTTATAGGATTTTTTTTAATAGATGAGAAAGTTGAATGAAACATCACGTATGGAAAAATTCAATAGAAAGTCTAGCGAAAAATCAAAGAGAACTATCACTTTCAGTTCCATTTTTCCCTGAAAATGAATAGAAAACTGGAATATTCCGGTAAATATAATATATTGTTGAATTTTTAAGACCGTGACACTGAATGCGATTTAGGGGAAAGATAATCTTGAAATTTCAGATTTCACTGAAAATTGAATGTAATTTGGGACTGAATATTCATATTAGATTGTAAATTTGAATAAATTACGGAATTCTCGTCTTTATACTGCTTAAAATCCCGGAATTTTACGGAATTTCTACACGGAGAGAAATATTCATTAAAAATTACGTATCTTTTCCGTAATTCCGGAGAGAAATGTGGTTGTAGGAAATTTTACGGAAGTGTCATGGAATTTTTCCAGAGCGTTCCATAATTTTGACCTAAATCTCCTGTGAAAAATTACGATACCGCCACTTAAATTTTCGGAGTCGATTCCGTAATCGGTGAGCGAATTGTGAATTCCGTAATTTCTACTGAACATTTCTCTCTGTGTAGTGAAACCTAAAATTTCATGATTTTTAAATCCCCTAAATTGCATTCAATGCCAGTGGCCTGAAAAATAATTGTCAACTGTCCATAAAATTTCATTTTTTTTCCAACAATGTACTAGGAAAATCATCATATTTTGGTGGAAACTTTCTTTCTTGTCCACAACTAAATTGATTCAACTCGACAAAACATCTCTTCAGGGGAAAATATAATTTTTCGGTAGACTTAATTTTTTCTCCATGTGCAAAGGTAATTTTTTCTCTCAATATGCGGTAAAAGAAAGAAAAATAAAAGATCATTCCTCCCAGTTGATGCCTATTAGTGCACGCGTTCTAGCTATAGGAGTCAGTAGAAAAAAAAATACCTTGTGTACTCGCCATCGAGTGGGTTGATCGATGAATTGTGCTTTGATGAAATAGCCCGAGCCAGGGAGTTTTCCACCAAGATTTCCGGGGTTTCCCAGATTTTCCATTGCAACTGCACGCGCTATTTGAACGGGTCGAGTGCCGAGGGTCCCATCTGCCTCGCAATCTCGGCCACTTTTTGCTCCTCAAGACTCTCGAAAGCTCGGTCCTCACTTCGCCGTTCAAAAAACAGTACAATACTGCTACGAAAAACCCCTGAAAGTAATTAGTTTATTTTTTTGTTGGTGAAGGAATCAATTATGCAGAATTCTGCAAGGAAGAGATATGGTGAAGGAATCAATTATGCAGAATTCTGCATAATTGATTCCTTCACCAACATAAAAGAAAGATTTATAAGCGTGAGTACATTAATTGGAAAACTGGAAAAATCATCAATTTAAGAAACGAAAATGTTCTTGATTTAATGATTCTGTGATTCATTAAATCCTGGTGAAGAAGAATAATTCATCTGTTCTCAACAGCTAGTTGGTACTGGTGCAGTAGTAAGGTAGGCAAACTTAGTTATGGAAATCTAAGCAGAATTGAGTGTTGTCGCAATATGGAGATGGGTAACCGCATGAAAAACATTGGGAAGAGATATGGGAGGGACTCAGTTTCGCTTCGTAAAAGAGTATTATACGGTTTCTGATGAAACCCAAATGATATTCTCAATGCAGACAAGTTGAGTTATGGAAAATTCAGCAGTGTTGAGCGTGGTCGCTATGGGGATGGGTGACCCCCGACGAAAATCGTTGAGAAGAGATAAGAGAGAAAATTGAGTGTAGCATATTCCCGAGTCGAATAATTGGACCTGACAGGTTCTACTTAGGTTCTAATTCGGTTCAGAACTGGATACGTCTTGGGAAGCCTCTTCCCAAGTGCTTCCGAGACCTTTCTACCTCTGGTTATGTCCCATTTCAGCACTTGTTAGGTGTAAGCAGGACTTGTATTCAGACTTCCCAAATCCGTGCCGGTCCCCGTAATTCTATGGGCCTATATTAAATCTGCGTTCATATCCCTGTTTACTCATGCGTTATTGAAATAAAAAATGCAATTATTGTTTTTTTTTAATCTCGAAAATCGACATTTCACGAGAGGGTGAGGGGAGATGCATGTATGTTGAGGCTTGACATTTTTACCCAACAGGGGGAGAAGGTAGCAGAATCTATTCTAGCCACTCTTGTC